GGTTTCCTTTCTGCTTCCGATTAGGAAGTGGAGGTTCATGATTATGTTCTTAGGTTCTTATATTCTTGTTATTTTAACATAATCATTTTTGGGTACGCACTTATACACAGACAGGTCTGTGTGTACACACATGTATCTGGGTGTGAATGTGTGTGTCTCTCTGCATTTACATTCAACCAGCAAGAAGGCTGTACCACAGCATAGATTGAGGAGAAATTGGTTTGTAAGAGGTTTTCAAAATCCTATTAGTGGAACGAGCAGCACAGACTGAGGTTCCATTGCAGGCTTAGTCGTAGGTCACTGGAGAGGAAGGAGTCTGTTCAGTTAACCGTGGTAATCTTGTTTTTAACCCTGTTTGCGGTGAGTGTTCTCAGATCCCGTGATGTTTGTCTCTGTGCTAATACTAATTGAATTTTAGTTGCAGTTATTGAACAGAAGTAGATTTTCTGAGTCCTTGGGGGCCGTGGTTGTTGGATTGAAGCAGACGTGATTTTATCTCGGCTCGTAGCTGAGTGTTTAATACAGAGAGCAGAATACAAATGGGGAATAGCAAGAACTTCCACAGGGCAGAGAGGGGGTGGGCAGGTATCCAGAAATTACGGAAACAAAGTTTTAATTTCTTTTTATTTAAAAAAAATTAAACATGAAAAGGGAATTTTAATCTCCTTTTGTCACAGCTGGGTCTCTCTCGGTTTCCCTTGATAAACCATGCAGGTACATTGAAATGCCAAAGCAAGTCATACCGACAAGGGAAATGGTGATATTGCTACTAGGCTAATAATCTAGGAACCTAAACAGAGATTACTGGAGAAACTCAACAGGTCTGGCAGCATCTGTGAAGAGAAAGCAGAGTTAACGTTTCAAGTCCAGTGACCCTTCTTCAGATGCTGCCAGATCTGCTGAGTTTCTCTGGCGATTTCTGTTTCTGTTTCAGATTTCCAGCATCTGAAGATTTGGGCCCATGTTCTGAGGACAGGAGTTTGAATTCCACTGCAGCAGATTGTGAAATCTGAGATCAATAAAATTTGTAATTTAAAAAAAGGTCATCAAATTATTTTGTCATTAAAAGCCCATGTGGTTCACTGCATTCCTTGAAGGAAGGAATTCTGCCATCCTTGCCTGGTCTAGCCTACGTGTGACTCAAGACCCACAGCAATGGCCCATCAAGCCTCTCAGTTGGATCATACCGCAGTAAAGTTTGAAGGAAGGAAACCCACATTGACCTAAAAACTGGAACAGTTGTAAATACAGCCCTGTCACCCCTGCGAATCCCTGCTTATTAACATCTGGGTAGTTTTGCCAAATTGGGAGAGATATCTCACACACCAGTCAAGCAACAGCCTGACTTAATCATACCCATGGAATCATATGTTATAATTTATAAAATGCCACACTTACCAATCAGAGGTGTGTCCTGTCCCAACAGCAATGGTATCAAGGATTAAAATAGGAGTAAATGGGATTCAGGGGGATGACTGTCCACTGTTGGAGTCATATCTGACACATACGAAGATGGTTGTGGTTGTGAAAGGTCAGTCATCACAGTTACAAGGCATCTCTGCAGAAGTTCCTCAGTGTAGTTATCCTAGGCCCTGTTATCTTCAGCTGCTTCATCAATGATCTTTACTCTACCATTAAGTCAGAGGTACGGATGTTCACTGATGATTGCACAATGTTCTGTGCCATTCATGACTCCTCAGGTCCTGAAACGGTCCGTGCCCAAATGCAGCCAGACCTGGACACATTATCCAAGCTTACACTGATAAATTCCAAGTATTACATATGCCACAAAAGTATCAAACAATGATCACCTCCAGCATCCTGAGGCTTACCATTGACCAGAAACTGAACTGGACTAGCCATTTAAATACTGCGGCTAAGAGAGCAGGTCAGAGGTCAGAAATACTGCAGCAGGTAACTCACTTCCTGAATTCTCCATCAATGAGGCATGTATCAGGAGTGTGATGGAATAGTCCCCGCTTGCCTGAATAAGTGCAGCTTCAACAACACTCAAGAAGTTTGACACACATCAACTATCTTCAGCATTCATTTTCTTGACCTCTGACACATACTTGCAGCAGTATGTACAATGCACAAAAGGCACTGCAGTAACTAACCCAAGTTTTATTGCACAGCCTCTAGCATCAAGAAAGACCAGGACAGCAAATGGATAGGAATACCACCACATGCCAGCACCCCTGCAAGCCCTGACTTGGAAATATATTGCTGCTCCTTCAGTGTCTCTGAGTCAGAATTCTAGAACTCCCTAACAACATTCTGGGTGCACTTCATGGACTGCAGTTGTTTCAGAAGGCAGCTCAGCACCACCTCCAGGAAAGGTTTCCTACCCTAGCCCGCGATGTCTACATCCCATGCACAAGTTTTTTTTTATCAGAACGTGAGGAAAACCATGGCCTTACTTTGTTCGTGCTTTGCAAGCTGTTGGTGAGAGGGGTGCTGAGAGAAATATGTCATCCTGGTCCTCATGTGGCATGTATTTTTTCACTCCCTTGTCTGTTTGCAAGTTGACGGCAAGGCATTATCATCCACATGTAGTAACCGCTTTGGCTGAAAGGCCCCCTCCTGTCTCACATCCTCTGGGTCTCCACTGTGCCAATCTTTTCTCAAGCCTTGTACTGTTGTTGCCAGAATAGACAGCCTTGCCATTAATAGTGTGAATACTCAGTAATCCATGCTGTCAATGCTGAAGATTAAGACTCCTGGACAAGTTTGAGTTGGGCCCACTTACCAATTTGGATGCAAATTGCACACAAAATTATACTGATTTTCTGTATTAGTTTTACAGATCAGGTTTCTGCTTAAATTTCTTTAGAAGATCACAGATCTAAAGTATGAAATGGACTGATATGGCACTAGGGTGGCATAGTGGCTTAATGGCTAGCATTGCTGCCTCGCAGCGCCAGGGACCTGGGCTCAATTCCACCCTTGGGTGACTGTTTACAGTTTGCACATTCTCCCTGTGTCTGCGTCGGTGTCCCCTGGATGCTCCAGTTTCCTCCCACAGTCCAGACATGTGCAGGTTAGGTGGATTGGCCATGCTAAATTGCCCATTGTCTTTAGGGATGCATGGGTCAGCAATGGTTAATACAGGGTTACAGGGATAGGCTGGGGGTGCAGGATGGCCTGCTTCCACACTGTAGGAATTCTATGGTACTACTGGACAGAGTTCTGGAAGGCAATTTATTTTTCCAATAAAAAGTATTCTTTGATATATTTAAGAGTGATTGCTCGGTGCAGATTTATTAATCCAGAAGGAAAGGCATTTTTAATGCTTTTTAATTTTACCACTGTGAGGAATCCGATTCAGTATAACTGCAAAATAACTTTACAAAGCCATTCATTATTTGCTACTGTGTAGTGGTCAGCGTCTTAGGAAATTAAATAGCACTTAATATCTGAAAGCTTTTAAAATGTGTCTATTAGTCCTCAGCAGCTTAAGGAAAAATAAAAGCTGCGAAGGCCTGCATTGGGAATAGATAAGAAAATCTTGGTAATTAATTTGATCCGGATTTGATCAGTTTCTTGAGCAGAATTCATACTATTTTTTAAAAGCTCATGGGAACATGATTTTCACAGGCCACAACCTGTGCTTGAAATCACACAAACTTTGGCTCATCGGTGTTGAATTTCTCCACAAATATTTGTGAAACAGAACAGAAACTTTGCTCTGGCACGTGAACAGTGTTCATCAGGACCCAGGGTGTTGCAGGGTGGTAAAACTCCTAGGTGCCGACTTGCTTGCCTCAATAAAAGGAGTTAGCAGCAAGCTAACCTGCACACAGATGGGGCTGTCCAATGTTGGGTAATTAGACTGTGACCCTATTGGAGCAGGCGTAAAGAGTATGCAATTGATGACAATCAAATGGAAGCTCTATCTTAAAGAATTCTTAACAAGAGTCTCCAAACCATACTTATGGATCTGACTTTCTGTACCCATCAGGCAGCTGGAGGACAAGGAAAGAAACCATCTTGTGAGAAAAAGCACGAGAATGTCAATAAGACATTTGACAGCCCTAGCACTTATACAGCCAGTTGAGAGAATTCTGTTAAAGCCATTGGACCTGTAGTTTTAATGGGACAATCAGTCTATCACTTTCTTTACCTGTCTCCCTGTGTAGGGATATCCCCGACCTTCACCGAATAATCTCCAAGTCACGTGTGACAAAACAGGCACTCCCCAAATGGGGTCTCCCAGCACAGGCCCATGCCAGTTTTCTTCTTGGCATCCACCATATTAAACATGCCTGAAAGTCAATCTCAAGCCATATACTGTGCCCGTCATGGGGAGTTGATGAAAGACTCAGTGATTTATCGGCTAGAAATTACCGTGATCAGAGGTAGGCATAGTGCTCCATTAATGATTTCCTCAGTGTTTTGTGTATTGTCTTTGCTTTTTTAATCATGCCCTGTGGACTCCATTGGATAAGCATCAAAAATATAATTTGCCCTGATGAAGTGAGGGGTACTCGTGTGAGTGATTTAACAGACTGCACATTCAAACAGATTGTCAGCTTCCATTGAGTACAATCAGTTCTTTAGCTCTTTCCTGATTATCAAGGATTCAATATGGAATTAACCCAATTTTCTAGTGGGCATGAATCCAGGACAGAACTGGTCCTTCATTCAGTTCAACACTGGGCAGGGAATTGTTAGCAAGGGAGGCCTTGGAATGATTAGTTTGGGAGTTGAAAATGTCATATAGTGCACTATAGGCTGCTGTCCTGCAGTTCATGGACATTGCTTTCAGAGGAAACCTAACTTGCACGTTGAGTCTGACAACTGGATTCTTTCATGTCATTCAGAGACTAATGGGATGTCAAGAAGGAGGGGATTTTGTTAGATTCTCCCTTTTGAAAGATGGGCTAGGGGCACTTCCTCATCAGGATTCACCATGTGGACTTAACAGTATGCCACCAAAGAAGCATGGGTTAATTTTTTTTTCTGAATAATTATTAACATCCCTTGCTTTCTTTTCCTAGTTCTTTCCGGGGCGACCCTTTGTCATGAAGTTGCTTCAAATCACTAACTCCTGGCTGGAAGAGGATAACGTGGCACCAATCTCCTACAATGTTTATATTGACGTGCTAAACAACAAGAATGGGGTAAGCTGCCTGATTAATGCATTGAATTTGCAGATCGTGTCCCATTTTATGATGGTATTCTTTCTGTCTGGAGCTTGAAATCTAAGATAGTGGCTGATAAGTTCAACAGGAAATTCAAAAGAACCTTCTTTCAAGGTGTGTTAGAATGTAAACTCACCACTACAGGAAGTAGTTGAAGTGAGTAGGTAAAGTGCATTTAGAGGAAGGTAACTATATTTATATGAGGGCTGAAGGGATAAGGATATGTGAATGGAATTTGTTTCTAAGAGACAGGAGGCCACTGCCATCCCTTAGTCAGTAAACTTCCTTTTGCTCAGATCTTGAATGTACCCAGAACCAGAAGTCACAGTCTAAGGATATGGGGTAGGCCATTTAGGGCTGAGCTGAGGAGAAATTTGTTCACCCAGAGAGTGGTGAGCCCGTGGAATTCGCTGCTACAGAAAGCAGTTGATGCAAAAATATTGAATAGTTTCAAGAAGGGTATGATACAGATCTTTAGGCTTCTGGGAGAAGACAGTGGTGCCAAATCCCTTGGAATCATTTGAGAAACAATGGGATGTTGTGATGGAGGGGCTGGAACACCTGACGAATGTGCATTCCAGCTCTGTTATCTTACACAATATAAAATAGTGTCATGGAATAGTCGCCAAAAGATCAAGAGATCAAATCCCATCCGCTAATATGTAGCCAATACCAGAGAGAAATGGTCATTGAAGCTGCTAGATTATCAAAACCTCAACAGGCCTGAGTAATGTCCCTCAGGGACATTCTGTCATGCTTACGTCCAGTGAAATAGTCTGGGCCACTGAAACAACCATGTTTCAAATGGAAAGTCTTCCCATCGTCGCCAACATCTGGAAAACAAGTAACTAGAGGTCATCATTGTAGTGGAAACACTACATAGTAATACAGCATTGCATGGCTGAATAACATATTCCAGAAGCCTGGACTCAATCCAGAGAATTTGAATTCACACTTTTTTTTAAATCCAGCAATAAAAAGCTTGCTGGCAATAAAGATTGGAAGATTTTGGATTGCAATAGTCTTTTAGGATTCGAATCCTGCTTTCCTTACCCTGCCTGGCTTCTGTGTGACTCCAGTCCCGCAACAATTCTAAATACCCCTTGAATGACCTTCAAGACATTCAACTGTATCAATCCCGCTGTGAAATTTTGTTGCAACAGCAGCTCAGAAAAGCAGACTAGCAGCACCATTTGGGGAGCTAAGGGTTATCAATAAATGCCAGCCCTTCAGCAATATCCACATCAGGATGGCACAAAGGCTAGCACTCCTGCCCCAAGCACTAGCAACCTGGGTTCGATTCTACCCTTGGTCAACTATCTGTGTGGAGTTTGCATGTTCTCCCCATGTCTGCATGGATTTCCTCCGATATGCAGGTTAGGTGGATTGGCCATGCTAAATTGCCCTGTAGCATTCAGAGATGTGTAGGTGCGATAGCCTTGGGAAATGCAGTGTTGGGTAGGATGCTGTTCAGAGGGTCAGTGTGCTTTTGATGGGTTGAATGGCCTGCATCCACACTGTAGGTGTACTCTGATCTGGAGAACCATACATATTTAGCTCCTCATGAATCTTCTACAATTAATTTCTAACAGAGCTGCTTTCTTTGGCATTGCTATTACTGGGTAAGCTGTCAGCCAGGGGCGAGCAATTGTTTGGGGAGAAGAGCTGCTCTAAAAATGATTTTGGCGAACTGTTGAGAGCTGTCATAAAATTCATAAAATGAATTGTGTTAGCAACAGCTGCAATTCTCTAATTTGCTATGGCATTTGTTGTACTGAAAACTGTTCCTAGTTAAGTTAGTTAATTGGATTTGATTAGCCAAAACAGACCCTACATCTAAATTATAACAGTATCTTAAACTTAGATTATTTAGATTGCATTTAAACTTAGATTATTGTACTAATGCTTTTTAAGGAAACAGAATTGTTCAGTGAGGGAGGGTTGGAGCTGAGCAAGGGAGGCAGAGGGCATGACGTAGAGCATGATGTGAGGTTAAATGACAGGGAGCATTGGCCTTCTCTCAGCCTTTGTCACTGGCCTCAAAGATTCATCCAACAGGTCATCTCCATCCTTAGAAAATGCCGGGGGATTGAAAATGGCCTCAGTAGCTGTTAGCTGCAGCCATTTGTGCCTTGGCACTCAGGTCTGCAAAACTTGTCAAGCAATTCCAGTAGGGTTTAGGACCCACGGTTTGGGATGGCCTGTGTAATGCTTCTCCATAGCAGAGCTCATACAAAGCATGTCTATTCATGCCTATATTTAATACATACAGCAGTGAAAAAAAAATGTCCTCCATGATGCGGAATGAACTTGAGCGTGGACTAATTGTGTAGTACAGCAGGTTTGAGGGGCTGAATGGCCTGTAGCTACACCTAATGATCCCGTTTTTATTCTGTGCTGTACAATTTTAAAAGTGCTTGAAAGCATTTCTATGTAGGAAGTGCACCAAACGTGTTATTGGTCTCAACATCTGATTTCTAATTTGTTTCTTCCCTTCTCGTAGACAACTGGGGCCCTGTTGCCAGACAGACTGAACTGGGTAGGTTGCCAGGGCAGCAGGCCTCACTTCCGAGGTTACCCGTGCTCCATGTGGACACTGTTTCACCTCTTGACAGTGCAGGCTGCAAAATACGATAAATCAATGGCTCACAGGCGAGAGAGTAAGACTTTATCTTTCAATTTTCTTCTAAACATTGTCCATTTCCCTATCTTAGAGGAAAGGTAATTGAATGACTAGTTGACCTTGGTCTTGTCACTTGCGTCAATCCTCTAGATTGGCTGAAAGAAAATAGGCTTTTATTCTTAGGATTTGTCTGGGGAGCCCTGTAGAACCCATCATTTATGAAGGATATTTATTTTCCAAATCCTCAGTTGTTCCCTCAAGGCCTCTCTCAACACTCACCCAACTCCAAACTCCTCATCGCTCGCCCAAAATCCCTCCAGAAATCGCCAAGCCCCTCCCATGCACAGATACTTTGCCCACACTTCATCCTGTCCATCCATGATCACCATCCCCCTCCACTCAGTCTCACAAATCCACATCCTGGATTTTAATGATTGACAACAGTTCCATCCAGCGGGACATGTCTGCCTGATAAAAGCCACCTCCCCTTCCACAGGTAGCAGTTCATGCAGTGTCTTCTGCTCCTAACTGTTTGTGTTTGAAGTTGGCACGGGCAATGGAAGGCAAAATGGTTACCCAGGATGATTGTTCTGCCTGTTCCCAGGAGCAAGCCACCCTCAAGATGCGGGCAACCATCTGTAATATTGCTTGACTGACCCTTGGGTGAAATGAGTGAGATTGAGTGAGAATGCGAGATGCTCCCCACCTGGGGCATTTATCAGGAATCGCGAAGACTTCTCTAACAACCAGAATCTCTGTGTTCCTTGCATTTTAGCTGTCACCAGCTCTGGAGTGAATCAACATTGACCCTTAGCAGATTATTGCCCCTGACTGAAAACTGCACAACAGTCGCATTCATTAATGGCATTAGGAAGAGGACAATGGGAAGGGGAAGGGGCAGCCTTAGATATTTGACACTCAGAGGTCCAACTTAATGAACAGACCACTTCTGCAGGAGCTAGGGACAGATGCTCGATTCATGGTGGTCTTAGTGAGGCTTTTGATAATCCATCAATTGTCCAGTGTCCTGATTTGGAAGCATTTAAATTTCATACCCAACAACAGATGAACACTTTAACTGTAAGAGAGTAATGTCTAATTCAGATGTGGGCAACACTTAACAAGGCCACATTTATTGACAAGCCCATGCTGGAGAAAGAGCCAGTGGCTCCACTAACCGAGCCTGTACATTCCTTCTGGATCACGTTGCTGCAATTCCAGGGATTCGACCCAGTATCGCTGGAGGAGTCCAGTCAGGATGGTGTGCGATATTGGATTGGAACCTGGAGCTGACAGCTCGCTCATAGCATTGTGCCTTCTCTGGGGCCAGGGAAGTGGGTGGTTTTCACAGAAGGCTTGACCTAGAGCATCCCTCAGTGCATCATTTGCTACCCTTGTTTCGCAGTCGTTGCTCACGTTTAGAGAGCTCCCGATTGCACTGACTCAGGACAGCACCGGGAACGTTGGAGTTGAGTTCAGCACCCCGAGATAGCAGGGGTGAGAATTCACCAACGACTGGCTCCCCTGTGACGGCTGTCGGTAATGTGTGTGGGTGTTGGCGGGGCTAGAGTGGGTTTGATTTTGAGCTGCACTTACCCACTCCCAGAGTTAGCCTGCCACCATTGCATGTCTAAACTAGCACATGGATAGGGAACCCCAGTGGAGGAGCATATTGACTGTCGGCACAGAACAGTTGCGGGGCAGGGGCGGGGATGAGCACACCTTGCTGGGCCTTTAGACTGAATGCTTTTTTTTTTCCTTCTTCCTCCCTTTCTCCCTCAGCTACACAGGCCGACGTCCTGGAGGTGCTGTACGCCATGAGACAGTATGTCAAACACTTCTTTGCCTGTGGGTATTGTGCCAAACATTTCGAAGCCATGGCACAGGAGTCCATGAACAAGGTCAGCAGCTTTGATGAGGCTATCTTGTGGCTGTGGTCTCGGCACAATCAGGTGAACAACAGGCTGGCAGGTAAGAGAAAACCACTGGACCATGGACAGTGGGGTAGGGAGATGGGGGGCTGGTTTACAGAGGCCATGCAGGGAGAAACCTGTTAGCGCACCTTAAAACAGTGCCCTGCCTGAGTGACCCCATTCCCCGTCTGTGATAAGGTGATACTCTAGAATTGGAAAGGCCCGCATTTATTGCGAATCTTCAGGCAGGAAGCCTTACCGCCTCAGCATGTCCCAAACGCTTTAAAACTGAGCGAAATGCTTTTGAAGCACAGTCACTGCTATCATTTTGGAAGAACGCCAGCCAGTTGCCCCACAGCCAGGTCCCGCAACTCGGCAAATTTGTTGCCGGCTGATGTGAGTTGAGACATGAAATGCCGGCCGTGACACTGCGAACTCCCCTGCTCTTCCTCAGACTCATGTCACATTTACCTGAGAGGGTGGAAAGAGCCTCCATATCACCTCCCATCTGAAAGAAGGCCCCTCTGACGTGCAGCACTTTCTCAGGACTGCACGCTGTTCCTGACGAAATTTTGTGCTCAAGCTTCCATCCAGAGCTTCTCATTTCGAGGCGAGAATGCTGACACAGCAGAAGCAGTACTTTGGTGGGAAGCAACCAATTTAAATGAATTCAATTGACATGAAAAGAATTGATACGATTGGGCAGCACCAAGAGCTGCCGATTCCGCTCGTATCCGAGGAAGGATTGGCTGGAACAGATGGACTTAACGGAGGCTTTATTATTTGGCCAACTCTACTGCATTGTACTGATTTGCACTGTGGCCAGAGTCTGCACACAATGCTGTCAGGTCGGACAATGCTGGGAGAGTTAATAACCCAATACACAGTGCTGTCAGGTTAAACAGTGCTGGGAATGTTACTGTCCCTATACACAGTGCTATCAGGTTAGACAGTGCTGGGAGAGTTAATAACCCAGTACACAGTGCTGGCAGGTTAAACAGTGCTGGGAGAGTTATTGCCCCTATACACAGTGCTGAGAGTATTAATAACCCACTACACAATGCCGTCAGGTTAGACAGTGCTGAGAGTGTTAATAACCTAGTTCACAGTGCTGTCAGGTTGGACAATGCAGGGAGAATTAATAACCCAGTACACAGTGCTGTCAGGTTAGACAGTGCTGGGAATGTTACTGTCCCTATACACAGTGCTATCAGGTTAAACAGTGCTGGGAGAGTTAATAACCCGTTAGACAGTGCTGGGCGAGTTAATAACCCAGTACACAGTGCTGTCAGGTTAGACCGTGCTGGAAGTGTTAATAACCCAGTACACAGTGCTGTCAGGTTAGACAGTGCTCGAAGTGTTAATAACCCAGTACACAGTGCTGTCAGGTTAGACAGTGCTGGAAGTGTTAATAACCCAGTACACAGTGCTGTCAGGTTAGACAGTGCTGGAAGTGTTAATAACCCAGTACACAGTGTTGTCAGGTTAGACGGTGCCTGGAGAGTTACTGTCCCTTTACACAGTGCTGTCAGGTTAAACAGTGCTGGGAGAGTTAATAACCCGTTAGACAGTGCTGGGCGAGTTAATAACCCAGTACGCAGTGCTATCAGGTTAGACAGTGCTGGGAATGTTACTGTCCCTGTACACAGTGCTGGCAGGTTAGACAGTGCTGGGCGAGTTAATAACCCAGTACACAGTGCTGGCAGGTTAAACAGTGCCTGGAGTGTTAATGTCCCTATACACAGTGCTGTCAGGTTAGATAGTGCTGGGATTATTACTGCCAATTACAGAACTGCAAGTCTTTGTGTTCTGTGGTAGAACAGTTTGATTTTGCTGTAACGTTGAGGGGTTAATGCTGCTGACCAGTCTTTGGAAAGATCTGGATTGGAAGAGGCTGATTTGAGTTTTCTTGAAATATATAAGGTTGGTGAGGCAGCGGGCTCAAGAGTCAGCACCCAGGCTCCTACTTGGCTCCTGCAGTCTCCTTCAGTCCTGTGTTTGGAGAGAGGCAGGAGGCACTTCTGTACGTAGCACGTGGGACATGGCTTCTCCCTGGGGGACAGTATTTGAACTGTGCTGCTTAGTCCAATCCTTCAGGGTCAATGAAGCATGAAATCCTACCACTTGTAAAGTGTCAGTGCAATTAATTTGACCCCCTCCCCAACTCCACAAAACATACAAATGACAGTTGGGATCTTTGAGAGGTTTATTGGCCAATGTAGTCTCCAGAGGGAGTTGCTCTCAATCCTTTGATTTCAGAAACTAAACAGAGAGCAGATTACACCCTGAATTTAACAGTTTACATAGAGTTTACGTAAAACTATTCCACTTGGTTGACAGGGCTGTAATTCGATTCTTTTGCCCAAAGAAAACTGAGGATCTGAAAGAGCTCTCCAGTTGTCATTGATGAGCCATTCCAGTAAACAAATATGTGTTTATTTCTATCGCAGCCTCTTTGTACACAACTTGGAGTGGGTTCAGCAGAATGACTTTGAACTCCAAAGGCTAAATTATCAGGGGAACAATGCACAAACCAGCATTATATTTCTGGGAATTCACGAAATTGAAGAGAAATTGAATAGAATTGTTTAAGATATTAAGGGGAGCACAAAGATTACATGGAGCGAAAGTATTTTTCTGCTTCTTAAGGATTATGTCCCACAGTCTAAATACTAGAGCCAGATGATTCAGGAGTGAAACTTGGGAACAATTCAATTAAAAGATTGGAAATGATTGAAACTATCTTCTGCCAATGACAGTTGTTGCTTGATCAGTTATAAATTTTGAATCTGAGATTAGCAGAATTATGCTAGCCAATGGTGTAAAGGGTAGAGGGCATAGCCTTGTGTGTGTGTGTGTGTGTGTGTTTGGGGGCGGGGAGGGGGTGTGTGGGGTGGGGGGGTCTGGGGTGGAGTGGGAGTTAGGTCACAGGTTAGCATGATCACAGTGGAGGGAAGAACCAAGTTGACATGGGTAAGTTCCTGTTCCTGTGTCTCTGTAGGTATGCTGACCTGTCCAATCTTCAATAAACTGGTCATGTTTATATCACATGCTCTCCATTTGCCAGCAGTAGTCGTTCACTCGAGTCTTGCATGTCTAGTTTCAACT